CGGAGGTCAGGTCATCCGATGTTGCCCTGCTTGCCCAAAGAACTCGTCGAAATCTACTCTACTTCTACTCCTAAGGGGTGGCGTGAGCCGAAAAGTAAAAATACTTGTTTTGTTGATCGATGAGAGATGTCTATTACAATAGCCGGCGTTCACTATTTATACCCGATGCTTGACTACGAGTCCTGGTTGAACAAGACCGGTTACGAAAACTTGGAAAATAAAATAAAACTTCCTAATTTAAAATAACTTGGACTCCAATCTTTCCTTTCTATGAAACCCGACGCGTCTCTTACTGAGTCCTGCCGTTTTCTGCCAATTGGGCCCATTCTCTTGGAACAATGATGTCATCTTATTTATTTGATGGCGACCTGGTTAGCCGATCCTTGCTGAATATCTTTGGCTTTCCTTTGACAAATTTAGACCTCAGGGTCACTTCTTCTTGAACATAATTTTGGTGTCAACACATATAGCGTTAATCTGGACACAAGATTGGTTCACTATTTGTGTCGACTGTACCACAAGCTGAGAAATCGGTTTCGTCACACCCGATGGTCCCCTATGTGGCATTGGTCTCATTGGAAGATCGTTTTGCTCTATTTCGAGACAATGTTAATCTCGGTACAAGAGCCGGGCACGGTTTGCGCCAACCGTACCATAGGATCGGAAATCATTGTGGTCGCACCTGATGGTCCTCATAGGAGATGTGCATCATGTTGAAGTTTGTTTCAATCCATTTGGCAATAGTGTTAATCATGGCGCAAGATCGAGGAACAGTTTGCGCCAACAGTACTGCAGGATCAGAAATCATTTTGGTCGCACCCGATGGTCCTTCTAGGTGACGTCCATCACATTGAAGCTTGTTTCGATCTGTTTAGCTAAAGTGATAAGCTCTGTGCAAGATCAGAGCATGGTTCCACGGACCATACCATAAGCTTACAAATCACTTTGGTCGCACCCAATGGACCTCCTAGGTGTTGTGGGACAAGCGGAAGCTCTTTTCGGTCCGTTTGGAGATACTTCTAGTCTCAATGTAAGATCGAGACACAGTTTGCATTGACCATACCATAGGATTAGAAACCATTTTGGTCACACCTAATGGTCCTTCTAGGTGACATGGGTTAGGTGGAAGCTTGTTTCAGTTTGTTTGCAGACAATGTTAATCATGATGCAAGATTGGTGCACCATTTGCGTCAACTATATCACATGATCAGAGATCATTTTGGTCGCACCTGATGGTCCTCCTAAGAGATGTGGATCAAGTGGAAGCTCATTTTGGTCGGTTTGGATATAACGTTAATCTCGACGCAAGATTGGGGCACCGTTTGCGATGACTGTAGTATAGGCTTAGAAATTGATATGGTTGCACGCAATGGTCCTCCTAGGTGACATGGGTCCAAGTGGAAGCTCGTTCCATTGGGTTTGGAGATAATGTTAATCTCATCGCAAGATCAGGGCATGGTTTGCACCGACCATACAACAGGATCGGAAATCATTTTTGGTCGCACCTCATGATCCTAGGTGCTTCGTGTTGAAGACTGTTTTGATCTATTTAGCAATAGTGTTTATCTCAGCGCAAGACCAGACCACAGGTTGTTGCACGGATCGTACCATAAGCTTGTAGATCACTTCTATCGCACTTGATGGTACTCCTAGGAGATGTGGAGCAAGCAGAAGCTCATTTCGGTCAATTTCGAGACAATGTTAATCTCAGCGCAAGATCGGGACACTGTTTGTGCCGACCGTACCATCAGGCTTAGAAATCATTTTTGTTGCACCCTATGGTCGTCCTAGGTGACATGGGTTAATTGAAAGCACGTTTTGGTTCATTTTGAGACAGTGTTAATCTCGGCGCAAGATCGGGGCACAGTTTATGCCGACTCTACCATAGGGTCAGATATCTTTTTGGTTGCACCTGATGGTCCTCCTGGAAGACGTGGGCCAAGTGAAAGCTCATTTCGGTCTATTTGGAGATAGCGTCAATCTTAATGCAAGATTGGGGCACCGTTTGCATCCACTGTACCACTAGTGAAAACCAATTTGGTCGCACTCGATGATCCTCCTAGGTGTCATGTGTCTAAGTGGAAGCTCATTTCGTTCCATTTGAAGACTGTTAATCTCAGCGCAAGATCAGAGCATGATTTGCACCTACCATACCACATGACCAGAAATCATTTTGGTCACACTTGATGATCCTCCTAGGTGACGATGTGCATCATGTTGAAGTTTGTTTCAATCCATTTGGCAACAGTGTTAATCACGGCGCAAGATTGGGGAACGGTTTGCGCTGACCGTATGTCACACCCAGTTTCAAGGAATCGAATGCACATCAGATGTATGCCAGGATCAATTTCTTCATACATACAAGACAATTAGTGATACATATTAGTGTTTATATACAGACATTAACTTTATTACAAAATGACCAAAGGGTCTAAAAGAAAATTACAAAGATGACTTCAGCTATGCTAGGTCTTCCACTATCCATAGGCAGACTATGACACCCTAGTTGTCAGTCTCAAGTTAAGACGAAACTCAAGTCTCAAACAAGACATATCCGATGGTGATCATGATCTCTAGTTCATAATCTTGCAAGTGGTGACAGAGGTGTTTAGTTCAATTGTTTAAAAAATGAGACCTAACTTAAACTTTTAAAGATAGAGGCAAACTCTTTTGCTTAATGTTAACCCTTTGCAAAATGTGCTTGAGTAGTGTTAATCATGTCTCTTGCATGTGCATCACATAAGCATGAACATCTCTTGGTTATATGAAAAGTTGCCTGAAGTTTGGAATCACATCATCTTCCACTAATAGCCATGTCATGCCACTAACTTCCAACCTCTTAATGCAAGCTATCCACGTCATCTCAAATTCTCTTTCGACATGCAAGACATCCATATCATCTTCCACTAATAGCCATGTCATACCACTAACTTTTAACCTCTTAATGCAAGCTATCCACATCATCTCGAGTTTATCTCAACATGCAGACATCCACATCATGTTCCACTAACTATTCACATCATTTTCATTAATAGACATACCATGCCACTAACTTTTAACCTTTTAATACAAGCTATCCATATCATCTCTACTTAATTTCTTTTTTTTTTTTGCAATCTCCGCAGTAACACGCGGAGTACCTTCTAGTTTTACCTAAAAGCTATGGCCTCACTGGTACAATAGGTAGCATGGATGGACCCATATCATTTTTGCTAACATGTGCTACAAATATTAAGAACATTTTTTTTAGAAATGATGCGATAATAGATTTAAAAGTATCATGATAACACATTAAGGTTATTATGAATACATCAAATTAAATAAGTTCACAAGTTAACCACGATTTTAGCTTTATCTATTTTTACTTCCAAAATATAATGTTTCTCGATCTGCTTCTAAGCATAGACGTGCTTACGAGTTATGACCAACCGTGTTTATTAAAAAAACAGAGAAGACCAAAAATTAAAAAAATTAAGAAAACGATTATTACGTGACTATAGTTTATTAACAGATAAAAACATTACTAATAGTATTTTCTATAAACTTAATTTTTTAAGAAGATTCTATAAACTTAATTAAACCAAATTTAATCTATATAAATCCTAGACGATTTTTTTTAACCAAGGGAGTAGCAAACATGGCCTAGCCTGGCCCATGTATGGTCCAACCACGCGCTTGTGGAGCACAATTGCAGAAACACGCCCATCCATCCCTAATTCCCCGCCGACCAGGGGCGGACGCACGGCCCCCCCCCCCCGGGACCGAATTAACACAGAGCAAGTCTTCACAGCCCAGCCCAAAAACACCGGTATCCCTAGCTTCAGCCCCCGCCGGCGGCTCGTCCCGTCCCCAACTCGAGCGGCCGTAGCCCGTCCTCGCGTCCCGTGCCCCCGTGCCCCCGTCGCCCGTCCTCGCGTCCCCGTGCCCCCGTCCAGGCGGCAGCTCCTCTCTCTCCTGTCCCCTTCTGGCCTTCTCCGTGGCCTGGGCGTGCGGCACTGCAGCTGGCGCTGGCCGGCTCCCGGCCCCTGCCCCCGTCGCTCCACGGCCCTGGACCAGCACGTCACAGCAGTGTCGCACGGTGAGAGGTGAGAGGCTAAGAGCCGCCCATATGTACTGAATACTTATCTAGTTACTAATAATTGCATTTTACTTTACAACACTTCATATCTCAAGGTATAGAACTAAGGCCTTGTTTAGCTTCAGAGCGTAAAGTTTTAGATTATCACGTCGGGTGTTACATGGGGATGTCGCATGGGGTGTTCGGATACTAATAAAAAAAACAAATTACAGAATCCGTTAGTAAACCACGAGACGAATTTATTAAGCCTAATTAGTCCGTCATTAGCACATGTGTGTACTGTAGCACTTTGTTGTCAAATCATGGACTAATTAGGTTTAAAAGATTCGTCTCGCAAAGTAGTCGCAATCTGTGCAATTAATTATTTTTTTAGTCTATATTTAATACTCCATGTATGTGTCCAAACATTCGATGGGATAGGGTGTAAACTTTTGGTGAGGAACTAAAAGGCCTAAGAAATATGTATCAAAGAGTAGTGAGATAGCCGGATTGAGTAAAAAAAAACTGCGGATTGAACTTAATATGGATGAAATAGTTGCTGGTCCAGGGCTTATAGGAAGCCAATTGATGGGTTACATCGTGAAAGCATATGTGTTTTTTGTTTTTTTGCTATGGAAGGCTCTTGATTTGGTACTTTTCTATTTCAATGTTCCACTTAATTGTTTAGGACTTTGAATTGATATAAATCTTTGTTATATCAATTAGTATATGGCTAGTAAAATTTCTAGTCTTCCTAGCCTTCTATTGTTCAGCACCCCCCCTGGCTCATTTATGGATCCGCCACTGCCGCCGCCTTCCGAACTTGCCATCCTGCACTCCCATCCCGCCGCCTCCCCTTGCCGCCGATTGCTTTTCGTCCTAATCCTGACTCACTTAAAACCCTAAAGGCCTCCAGCAAAGGTCCCAATCTTGAGTACGGAGGATGGAGAACTGTAACAACGGACCGGCGGCCGCCGACGATTTCAAGGTACGAACCCACCCGCTCCCACGTTGTATTAGTGATTGGTGCCGTAATACTCGTCGGAGATCAAGGTGTTGGTGGTTTATTGCGCCGTTGGCAGGTGGTGGTGCCGGGGCATCCGCTGATCAGCCACTGGGTCTCAGTGCTCCGCGATCACTCCACCCCTTCCCATGCCTTCAGTGAGTGCTGTGCCTTTTTTTATTGTTCTTCTGAATCTCGTCCTTATTCTTGGTGCGTCGTGCTTTACTGGTGACAATTAATTGCAGGGAGTGCAATGGGGGAGTTAGGGAGATTGCTAATCTATGAGGCAACTCGGGATTGGTTGGTATGTTCCTAATTCTTACCTAAAACTAGATGGAAATGCTTTATTTGGTGGTGCTAATGCAAGTGTTTGATGTTAAGATAAATTTAGGGTAGATGTGAAAATAATGATCACTGCAATGTGAAAAGGAAACTTGTAATGTATTTTATTCTGGGCAGTCAGTAATGATGAATTTTATTTCGTTGAGTATGTGATCATTGAGATAGTTCTCCACTTTCTTCTGGTAGCCGACAGTAACACGGGAGATCCAGACACCTGTGGGCACTGCGGTTGTTGAATCTGTCAGTGAGATGGAGCCAATCATGGTTTGTATTTCTCTTCAATGTGTCTTTTTGCAAATTTGGCATTATTATTAATTAACCTTGAATTTTATTGATATATTTCAGATTGTACCTATTCTTAGAGCAGGGCTTGCTCTTGCAGATCTTGCAACATCAATTTTGCCATCAACTAGAACTTTCCATTTAGGTGAGAAAAAAATAACTTTTGATTTGTTGGAAAAAAAACTCAATTTCTCACTTGCTGATGTTTGTGATGCAATATGTTTTCATCTTTTGACTTACAAAGAACATCATATTTGATCGAAACACTTTCTGCTGATGAATATGCTACTAGTATGTCCAGAAACACATGGTGTGCTTCAACTTTTCTTTTACTGGACAAATTTAGCACATAAAAACTGGTCTAGTTTTCTAGATAAATTTATCTATTTATTTAAGCATGCTTATTGATTACTGCTAATGTTCCTTTTTTACCTATACTAAATGAAGGTATGTCCAGGGATGAGACAACGCTGCTGCCCTCTGTTTACTTAAATAAGTAGGTGCCATTCTTTTTGTTTTGCATTTAGATAAAAAATGTCGTTGATATGTTATAACACAGTAGTTGGGGCTCTACTAAAGCTATGTAACTTCATTTGGCAGAACGAAATATTATCTCAATAAAAATGTAGCTTGTTTGTAGCTAGGAAACTACAAGCGCAGGTTTCGAGGCAGTTCATGGAGGTTTTGTGTATGGTAGTAGGAATCAGGAAGGGGAGGAAGTTTTGGACTTCGCGGTAGCTTTTGACCTGATAATAGCCAACACTTTATTTAGAAAGAGAGAATCTCATCTAGTGACCTTCAGCAGCGGACAACACTCTAGCCAGAATGACTTTGTCCTCGCAAGAAGAAAGGACAAACGAGCATGCTTGGGTTGCAAGGTGATACCAGGGGAGTGTTGTTTCTCAACATAAGCTTTTAGTGGCAGACTTTCGTTTTCAGTTGCGTGCCCATAGAGATAAACAAGCTAAGATTGAAAGAACAAAGTGGTGGAAACTGAAAGGGGAGACGTCAGAGGTATTCAGGGAAAGACTTATCAAAGAGGGCTCTTGGAAGGAAGAAGATGACATAAATAACATGTGGAAGAAGATGGCAACCAACATTCGGAAGTGGCCTCAGAGGTGTGGAGTAACCAAAGGAAGTGGAGGCGAGGCTAAAGATACTTGGTAGTGGAACGAGAAAGTCTAAAGGGCTATTAAGGAGAAGAAAGAATGCTATAGACGCTTGTACCATGACAGGAGTGTGGACAACATAGAGAAGTACAAAGTGGCAAAGAAGACTGCAAAGCGAGCTGTAAGTGTGGCAAAGGGTAGAGTGTACGAGGATATTTACCAACATTTGAGTACGAAGGAAGGAGAGAAGGACATTTATAGGATGGCTAGGGTTCGTGAGAGAATGACAAGGGACTTCAACCAAGTTAAGTGCATTAAGGATGAAAGGGAGCATCTCTTGGTGAAGGAGGATGAGATCCGACATCGATGGCAAGAGTATTTTGATAAATTGTTCAATGGTGAGAATACGAACACAACCTTTCAGTTGGATGACTCTTTTGATAACACCAATAGGCGCTTTGTGCGGAGAATCCAAGAATCTGATGTCAGAGAGGCGTTGAAAAGGATGAAAGGAGGTAAAGCGATGGGACCGGATGGTTATCCCAATCAAGGTGTGGAGATGCCTCAGGGACATAACTATAGTATGGCTAACCAAGCTGTTCAACCATATTTTTCGATCGAACATGATGCCTGACGAGTGGAGGAGAAGTATATTGGTACCGATCTACAAGAATAAAGGGGATATTCAAAGTTGTACTAATTACCGGGGAATTAAGTTGATGAGCCATACTATGAAGCTATGGGAGAGAGTTATCGAGCATCGCTTGAGAGCAATAACGCGGGTCTCTATGAACCAATTTGGTTTCATGACCGGAAGGTCAACCATGGAAGCCATTTTTTTAATAAGACAAGTTATGGAGCGGTATAGAGAGAAGAAGGACCTACACGTGGTTTTTATTGACTTGGAGAAGGCTTATGATAAAATAGCAAGGAATGTTATGTGGTGGACTTTGGACAAACATAAAGTCCCAACGAAGTACGTCGGGCTCATTAAGGACATGTACAACAATGTTGTGACTAGTGTTCGAACAAGTGGGAGACACGGATGACTTTTCGATTAGGATAGGACTACATCAAGGGTTAGTTTTGAGCCCTTATCTGTTTGCCTTAGTGATGGATGAGGTCACAGGAGATATACAAGGGGACATCCCTTGGTGTATGCTTTTCGCGAACGATGTACTGCTAGTTGATGAAAGCCGGACAGGAGTGAATCAGAAACTGGAGTTATGACGGGAGACTTTGGAGTCCAAAGGTTTTAGACTCAGTAGAACTAAAACTGAGTATATGAGATGTGACTTCGATACTACTACTCGGAAGGAGAAAGATATTAGTTTGGAAGGTCAAGTAGTACCTAGGAAGGATACCTTTCGATATTTAGGATCAATGCTACAGAGAGACGGGGATATTAATGAAGATGTTAGCCATAGAATCAAAGCAGGGTGGATAAAGTGGCGCCAAGCATCTGGTGTCCTATGTGACCAAATGGTACCACAGAAGCTAAAAATCATGTTTTATAGGACGACGATTAGACCTGCTATGTTGTATGGTGCAAAATGTTGGCCTTACGAAAAGACGACATGTTCAACAGATAAGTGTCGCGGAAATGCGTATGTTGCGTTGGATTTGCGGTCATACAAGAAAGGATCGAGTTCGGAACGATGATATACGTGATAGATTAGGGATATCACCAATTGAAAAAAGGCTTGTCCAACACCGGTTGAGATGGTTTGGACATGTCCAACGGAGACCTCCAGAGGTATCGGTGCGTAGTAGAATTCTAAGCTAAGATAGTAACGTGAAGAGTGGTAGAAGAAGACCGAAGTTGACTTGGGTAGAGGCAATAAAAGGAGACTTGAAAGGATGGAATATACCCAAAGACTTAGCCTTAGATAGGAGTGCTTGGAAAACAGCTATTCACGTGCCTGAACCTCGATGGCTTCTGCTGGGTTTCAACTCTAGCCTACCCCCAACTTGTTTGTGACTTAAAGGCTTTGTTGTTGTTGTTGTTGTTTGTAGCTAGGAAACAAACAGTGGAGGTTGTTAAATATTCTTTAATTAATTTAATTTTCTTGATGAAGAAGTCACTTTCATCAGACAAGGTTGGAACCACAGTGATTATGAACTGTGTTCCAGCTTACTCTTTTCTATCTTATTGTACACTTTTTGTTAATTTGATGTATCACAAGATCTTTTCCTAGTTCAATCTATTGAAATAGTCGAGTTGCAAGCTATAGTGTTGTATGAAATTACCAATGGTACTTGTTTTCCTGATGATCAATGGAACATAATTTTGAGTGCAGGCTACCTGATAGATTCCCAAAAGGATGTAATATACTCCTTGTGGATCCTATGCTAGCAACTGGTAATCCTTTTCCTTGTATATCACAGCCAATTCTTATATTGGGTTATCATTCTTTTTGAGTTTGCCTGATTGATTTCACTCCTATACCCATGCTGTGTTTGAGTGGTCGTCTTTCTTCTTACCTTGTGTTTTCCATCAGGTGGAACAATCACTGCAGCAGTTGATCTGGTTAAGGAGCGTGGAGCTAAAATCAGTCAGATAAGAATCGTAAGTTCGTGAAGCAAAAAAAAAAAAAATGAAAAAGATGAAACAGATCTGTTTGTTGATTAAAAAATGGTTATTATTTTCTAAACAGTCATTGTTATGCAGATATCAGCTGTTGCTGCTCCTCCTGCCATCAAGAAACTCAATCAAAGATTCCCAGGGTGCATTCTGAAGTTCTATAAATTTGTTGCATTTTTAGTATCAAGGTTACCTTGATGATTGTATATCTTATCACTCTTTTCTGCAGGATTTGTGTGTATACAGGAACTATGGATCAAATTGTGAATGAGAAAGGGTAATTATATTTTTACCAACATATGCATAAATCATGATTATTGCACTGCTAACTCATTCTCGCTAATGTACTGCAGTTTCATAGTCCCAGGCCTTGGGGATGCTGGAGACCGCAGCTATGGAACATGACTCTGGCGGTCTGGCCCTTTGCTGATGACCATTGTTGGGAATTTCAGCAAAACCCAGATTTAGTTGATGCCTGCTTATTTTCGTAGACCAGATTTGTGGTTCCCTAAAACACAAATCTGTAGTTTTGAGGGTCTGAACATAATATTTTGACAATGTGATGTCAAATTTTGCCCTTGTGGTGATATCCTGATAATGCCTATGAGCTTCATGGAGTGTTTGTTTTGAGAAGTGGGATAGCCTACAATCACCTTAGCTCTGAACATAACCTATCTGCTTGGTTTCAAGAATGTAGCGAGTTGTTTGTCGCTATCCCAAGAATTACCCAGATGTGGCCAAACAGGCGATCTGTTGATTGCAGTACCAAAACCGGTTCTGTTTACACTGGGTGGAGCTGGAGTGTATATGTATTGTCGAGAATAAGCATGATCTGGAAAATGTAAGGGACCACCTACATGCGCAGGTCATTGTAGGCTCAGAGCATCTCCAGCAGCAGAAGAAAACTCTAACCCTAAAAATTAGTTATTGGGGGAAGATACAAAACATATTTTGGGGTTTGAAGGCCTTTTCTTCAGCAAAATAAGAAAATCCAATTCCTAGTAAAAAAATAGTGGATTGAGGGAGAAGAGGTCTTCCTTTATTTGAGAGGTGGGAGGCTATGATTTGAGGTACTGAGAAAAAATTTTCTAAATTTTCTCATTGGGGTTGAGTTTGGAGAACTGCTGGAGCTACGAGATCTTAAAATAACAGTTTTTTTTTTCTCGACGGGGGTTAGGAAAGGGCAACTGCTGAAGATGCTCCTACTTCTTATTCATCAATTTTTATTTATATTTTACTATTCAAGGCATATTGAAGACTGCATACAACCCTGTAGCCCTCCAGAGGCTCCAATGGCCACTACCCTTCATTAGCCCACATCGTTGCCAGCTCACAGCATTGCCTGGCTGGATTAAAGTTATCACTCGGCCAAACGATGACAACGGCATGGGGAAAAAATCTGTAACAACGGGATAAAGAGCATTTCTCTTATTGTTTTTTTCCGTTTACAGTATTTTCAAGAAAAATTGTGCCTATATTTCCTACGTAAAAGGATTCCAATGTCCAACTTTAGCTCCGCTTCACCAGTAAAGCAGTTTTTTCGGCTTTAGCTCCATGAGCAGCTTTACCGGTGAAGTTAAAGCTGTTCTTGTGAACCGTTTGGCAAAACAGTAGATCTTCTTAAAACATGCTCTCACAAAATCCCATGCAAGATGATGAGTACAGGCCCGATCTTCCGAGAGGTAGCCGGTAAGTTCGATTTGTGGAGATCTCGACGTTGGCGATCCGGCTTCAAATCAGACACGATTCGAACCCTACAACCGTTACACCACCGCTCCGTTGGTTATCAACCAAGCACAACTTGATTGACCTCGTCAAGAAGACTTTTCCTGCAAGCGAATCGAAGAGCACAAGCAAGAAGGTAAAACACGCAATCTAAAATTGCAAATATGAATGACGCGAATATCAATAGAGGGTTCAAGAACTCGGTTCCAAAGGACTAATCGACACAGTGGAGGAGATCAAGAACGAGGGCCCTGGATCACTGTAAAAGGATTTGTCACCACAGTTACAATGAACGATTCAGTTTCTCGATGGAAAACTAAACTCTAAACAAAACCCAATTGTGTAGCAGCGGCGGCGGCTGTGTTTATAGTCTAAGACTCGACCTAGGGTTGGGGACGGCCAGGGGTTGGACGCCCACAACTTGGGCTTAAGGCCCGACACGATACATGGCCAAGTTGGCCCAAATAGGTGACGCAGCACCTTGCTGTGGTCACACAGAATGATCCACGGACCTTCTGGAGCTGGGACCAGATCCAAAACGACGGCGTCGTCGTCCCCTTTCCAACGCATCCAAGAACGGCCCTTTTCGATGTCGTATGAGAAAGTTATGACCGAAACAGTGACGACGTGTCTGCTGAATCCGAGGGCGACGTGGCAGCTGAGTTGGGAACGAATTGCAACTTGGGGAAGACCATGGCGTCGGTGTGTCCAGCGTGGCGATGTCCTCATCACAAGACCCACCAAAGCGAGTTGAAGCTAGAAAAAGCTACTATTTCTAGCTTCATCTTACACAAATTGCTAGTGAGAGCATATTTTAAGTAGTTTCACATGTGAAGCTGTTTTGAAAGTACCGTTTGACACAAATAGATTCAAACAACTCATGAAGTTGCTCGAGAAGCTGTGTCAAAAGCGCCTTGGCTCTCTGTATAAGAGCATCTTCACCGGGTCTTCTTTTTCCAAAAAAATTGCTATAGGTAATTGAGAAAATAAAGTTTTAGGTTAAAGGCGGTGCTACTGTAGCAGATTGAGTAAACTCCATCCTCTTTTATTTAAGTGGGACCCACTTGTCTGTAAGTAGAACTCTCCTTTTTCTTTCTCACCCAACGCTTGCCGGTGCGATTTCCCACCACGATCGGGGCTTTAGCATGCCGGCCCTCCACGCCCTTGACCGTGCGACGCCATGTTGTCGCGGCATGGCCGGCCTGCGTCCTTATGCGCACGGTGCCCCACTGTGACTGGCGCCCACCCTCGCCAGTGCGACGCTTCGGCACGGTTCCGTGGCTAGCCCCACCCTCGCCCGTGCAATGTGCCACTGCAATGGTGTGTGGCCGGCCCCCGGCCTGTCTGCGTGGCACCTAGGCATGACAACATGGTCGGCCCTCGCTCCGGTGTAGCGGTGGTTTGCCCGATGACAGCACCACCTCCCGTAGATGCGTTGATCCAACGGTTGACAGTTCAGGGAAGAAAGGGGATTGACAAAAATCTCTTATTCTTCCCCTTTCTTTGAGTGATTGACAACAGGTTTGAGAAATTGAGAAAAATTATAGGGAACGGGGATCCAAAAGAAGGGGATCTATTAGAGCTAAAAAAAATTTCCTACTGAATCCCGTTTGTTATTAGGGGAAAGGGATTGAGTTCCTCAATCTGGTGGAGATGCTCTTAGAGCATCAATTCCGTCTCCCACCTATGTATGTGAGAGTGGTGCTAGTGCTAAATAAGAGAATTGCCCTTGCTATTTTTTTTTGCATATAGAACTTCCTTTACAGTATTTTCATGTACATTAATTATGGTTGCAAGCAATCTTATACTCTTATGTCATGCACTTGATACATCTGTTAGGAAAACACATTCATGAAGCCCCTCATTCAAGAAGGGTTAAGAAATGAGAGTTTCAAGCCATATTATTTTTATCATAGCTACCAAAAAAATCACTTGGAAAGAAAATGTCTTTGGTTGGAATGCTTTTCACTACTGGAGGCGCCCTCTTTGCCGAGGGCCCAGGGCACTCGGCAAAGGCCCAAAAGCCCTCGGCAAAGGCTTTTTGAAGAGCCGCCCTCAAAGAAAGAGCCCTCGGAAAAAATTTAACAAGACAAAGAGGCTCTTTGCCGAGGGCCATTTGTCGGGCACTTTCGGCAAAGCCTTTTCCGAGTGCCAACGGCGACACTCGGCAAAAAAAAGTAGCCGACAATGGCGCTGCTTCGTTGATTTGGCGCCTTTGCCGAAAGTGCTGAAGCCAGTTAGGGCACTCGGCAAAGACATTTTTATTTTTTCAAAAACTCTTTGCCGGCAAGACTCGGCAAAGCCATTTTTTTTTTTTCAAAAAGCTCTTTGCCGAAGTGCCTCCCGACTTGGCACTCGGCAAAGATTTTTGCTTTAAAAAAAATCTTTACCGAGTGTAATGTCCTAGCACTCGGCAAAGTTTTTCGACTTTTTGCCGAAAGTGCCATGACCATTGCACTCGGCAAATCAACCGAAATTGCAATTTTTTTGTTTTTGCATTCCATCTTGACACAAACAGCTCAAATATATATCACATGTCACATATATATCACAAACATCACAATAATCACATATATATCACAATGAAACCATTTTCACACATTATATCACAACTACAACTCAAATAACAACATATCGTAACCACAAGTCAAATATCACAACCACAAGTCACAAATTCACAACCACAGTCCATCAAGTCCAAGCACAAGTCACAACCACAAGTGAAGCTCAAGTCCAAGCACATGACGAAGCACAACTCCTCAAAAAAGCGCCCTATGACACGATGGTGAAGCAAAGGCTCCATCATTCGGTGGCGCATGAGCGGGGTTATTCAAACCGCTTGACGGAAGTCGCAAAAAGGATAAGAGGTTGCATGTGTGAGATTCATCTAGTAAGTTTCTATGTGAAGCATTGGTGTATGTCATAGCTAGTGCAAGCATCTAGTAAGTTTCTATGTCAAGCATCTAGTAAATTGAGAATGTCAAGCATGGTTGTATGTCATAGCTAGTGCAAGCATGTAGTAAGTTTCTATGTCAAGCATCTAGTAAGTTTCTATGTCAAGCATGGTTGTATGTCAAGGAAGCATCTAGTAAGAGTGAACTTTCATACTTACAGGAGTGGTTGTAGAAGTAGGCGGTGGAGGAGCTGCCAACGGCAAAGGTACACCCCCTTGCTGGACACTCCGCATGAAGGCCTCCATTTCTTGCATCCTCCTCTCCTGGGCCGTGAACGCTTCCCTCTGGGCCTACAGCTGTGCGCTTTGAGCCTCGACCACAAGCTTCTAGGCCTACAGCTTGGCCTACAATACAAACTTCAATGTTTTAGTAATGCAAATGTAACTTAGGTGTGCAAAGATGAACGTACGACGAGTAAAACAGGACGTACCTCGAGAGCATCGACCCGCTGCAGTGACAGAGTAGGCCGTGGGCGTATGGGCTGGCTGGAGCTCGTGCTCTGTGCTCAGAGCACGTCGAGAGAGGGAACAGTGGTGGAGTCGATGGCGCCGTCTGCAATCCACAGCCGCCCATGCTTCTTGCCTCCGCCTAGCCTCATGATGGTCTCTACATCAATGGGCTCAGTGCGCACATCGTAATCTTTCCCATGGACCTCCCTCACCTTTGAGGTGTACTCTTGGACCTTAGTGTGCACGGTCGGGTCGGAGTACACCTCGCATGCAAGTG